ACACCTGTGGCTATGTATAACTCCATGGGAATAGTGGAGTTTTAAATACGCTGAACTGGAGTCTCTGTGGAAAGGTGCCCAGTGATCTCAAAGCACGTAGTTCCTGCGGCATCGGCAGCAGCTGTGCGAGGTCTCTGTGGCAGTGCAGCTGCCTGGTAAGCATGGCTGCAGGTATCCTCATCTGTGGAGAAAGCCAATGATATGCAGAAAGGATGTTTTGTAACATACCTCTGTTGTGATTGTTCTGCCTGACAGATGCAGGGTCGACATGCTAGTTAACATTTTTCTTCTGGGCAGCTGTAAGTGGGGGTAGAGGAGTGGGGAATTTTGATCTCTAGACAGCAGTCCTTCAATTACTTCTTCTAGGGGCAGTTTTCCAAGGAAAAGCCTTTGGACAGTCTGCAGTGACCTCCCTCCTCTTCCTTCCATGGCTTGGTCAGGTCCATAGGGCTGTACCTTTCTGAGAACAAGGTAGCTGAACTCGTGGCTGAATGATAGTGAACCAAGTTCACTGACAAAGTTCACCAAGTTCACTAAGGGTGAAGCCAGTTGAAAGGGCTCTGGCTTGACTGTGCACACAGGAGGGGGAACCAGAGCTAGAATTACATACCAGGGCTTATGCACTCTTCCTAGCACTTCCTCCTCTCCAGCATGGATATCCTGGCACCAGTTTCCGTTTTCTTCTTTTCTCTCCCCTATCTTTGCTTCCCCACATCTGTGGTACTGGAATTAGTGCTGGCTGTTCAGGAAAAAATGTTGTGGCTCCTGGGTTGGGAGCCAGGCAATACCATTTGCTATGTCCTCAACTGGTCTGGCTCTGAGGCAAACCAAGGAACCTGTGTCTGTGGATATTATGGTTAGCAAAGGCTAGCCTATATATAGGTTGGTTGATGGCTTTAGGCAAGCTATGATAAACCATGATCTTTTTTGGAGAGGAAGAATGAGAGGGATTACAGTGACAAGCTTTCAAAACCAACAATTAGTTTATGTTTTCAAAGTATGTCCACAAGTGGGGAGGTTGCAAAAATGTGTAATATTTTACAATCCTTAATGTAGAAATCCGTGGCTTTCTTTTCTTGTTCTTTTTGTTTTGTTTTTAAATACATGGGACTTGATCTTAGGCTTCATTGTGTTTAGAAACTGCACACCATGTTGGACATGCAGCCACTCAGGGAATGTGCTGATCTGTTGGCATGTATAAAAGAGACAAAAAGGTTATGTGTCATTTGAGGGACGAGGGATGTAGAGGAGTAAGCTTCCCCAATAACGTTTGACTTAAATCTGCATGGTTGTTAAGAAGGGTATGTTGGACAGCTCTGCTGCTGGACACACAGCTGTTTGTCTAAAGGTCTCAATCAATTAAGATCTCTTTTGAACAGAGCTGTGTTTATGGATCAGCATTTTTTATGCAAGTGGGAGACAGGTACCAACAGTAAACTTAACAGTATTTTTATTCATCAACCTGCCAGATTTATCCTGCGATAATTGTCTGAGCACCGTGGAGGCTTCTGCAACCTAACCACCCACAGCAGGCACAGTGGGAGAAGACTTGAGTGGCACATCCTATTGCTTTCCAAGAGTGTATTTTCAAGGCTAGGGTTGGAAGCAGTACAGGTGTGCTGTAGTGCACAAAATATTAAAACTGCTCATTTCCCTTACTAATGTGGGTAAGTAAAATCCTAATGGTTGGTGTCAGATTCTCGTTTAAAAGGCAAAACTTTCTAGATAGTAATGCGTACCTTGGTGCCTGCTTCACAAACTCAGTTGTTCTTGTTTTTCTCTTCTTTCTTGAAGCCACATTTCTAGTGTAGTTCTTACAGCCTTAAACTATGTTACCCTAGTTTTTGGCTTGTCTGTGTGAAGCTGCTGCTTCATAACAAACGAGAGTGTCTCACCAGTAGCTCCTGATTTAGATGGGTTTGAGTGCTAAGATCCTGTGTTGATGGAAGCAGCCTAAAACCTGTCTAGAGTTTGGGCCAGCTTCTCTTGCCTTTGTGCCATTTAAGTCAAGCTAAAACAGCCATAAGGAGCTTGGGTAGAAATTCTTCATGGAGAAAGTCTTAAGAAAAGAGCCTCTGTTCCCCTCTCTGCCCTTGTGTTTTGGCATTTGTGGATTGTGGAGGACAGGGTTAAGTAAAGTGGAGCTGCTACCTTTCTCTGGTTGTTACTGCTGTTTCTCGAATAGCAGAAGTTTGAAAGAATGCTTTCCACTATGGCAAAACAACACGTGGGTGTGATGCAGAATAAGAGATTTTGTTCTATGCTCTCACCTAGTTGCTGGCGTTATTGTGAAGACACTACTTAATATCCTTACTTGGCTTTTCTTGATTCTGTTCCTCATCTTCAGTCCTGTCAGCTCAGCCAACAGATTTGACAGTCACCCTTCCCACTCCTTGAGTACTGCTCAAAGTACTGAGGGACTAACATGCCATAGCTGCTGCTTTCCAGTTCTTCTCTGATAATACTTGCTTGTCCTTCTACTTGGGTTTGTGGAGAGAGAGAGGACTGTATGTGACTGCTTGGTGGTAATTGTCAGACATATTAGAGGATGAAAAGTAACACAAAATATGAGCATATAGAGAAGACTAAGAGACTAAGACTATTTTCTTCCTGTCTTGGAAGAAAATCCTTGTGTTGATGGGATACTCTCTAGTATTTTAATGTAGTATGCAGAAGTATTTGAGAGATGAGAGAGATTTAAAGGGGGGGAATGAAAGTATTAACATGGTCAGCATCAATAGTTGGTCAGTATCATCAGCTGTAGCATTGACATGCGAGTGGCCACATGATTTTACAGAATGGGGTTTATGCTATTTTTCTAGCAAAGGGCTGTATAGTTGTGGTCTGCCTGCCCATCTGTCAGTCTCTCCTTCCTAAGTTTTGAACTCACTGGTTTTGTTCCAGGTAAGCTCGAACGACCTTTGGAAATCTCAGAAATTCAGACTCCTGTAACATTTGTGGAAACAGCTTGCTTTGTGGCAAGAGGCCAAAAAGAGTTGTGAGAAGACCCAAATAGTTCTGCAAATCTTTTGGGGAAGGAGGTCCTAAGCATGAAAGGTGCTTACCTGAAAATCTAATGAGTGATAATGGAGGCAGTCATCCTAAGTCAACTGAAGAATAGTGTTATTCCTGATTTTGAGCTAAAATACAATTTAAATTAATATGCTATAATCCATAAGATATCTTAATCCCTTCATCCTAACTTTTCACACTGTGACAAGAGATATCATTAGTATTTGTTGTGAGAAACAATAGTTTTAATGCACTGAAGAATTTTGGCAAGGTAGTTACGTTTCTTCATGTGTGAACATACTTGTCTGATCCCCGTAATTGTTTTACAACACAATCTAAACATTTGTTGAAAAAAAAAGTTCAGGCATTTTTGCTGACCTTATAACTGTTTAGGCCCTTTGTGTTGAAAATAAATTTCCCAAACAGTTTATACAGCTGGAGAAAGGGGGATAAAATTTCTGATTGATAGTGAGGAGCAGTAGGTATGATCCTGTGATTGACTCTTGACTGCCACAGGGCAGTTAACGCATGGAAACAAGAAAACATTTCAGGCTGGCTGTATTTCAGGTCTTTCTCAGAGCAGTCAGCATTGCAAAATGTCATACATTGAACATCTCTGCTCTGCATTTGGAGGCTCTTTCATATCACCTTGTATCCTCAGGAAAATGAAAGAGAAATTTCACACTTCAGAGCATGGGCTGCATGGCATGTTGTGAGATTCTGGTACCACCTTTTTCCACCAATTTCTGTTAAGGGATCTGGACATTAAACAACCCTTTTTCTTAGTCAAGGTGTACAACTCTACCTTAGACTTAGGAAACTAACTTTCAGTCATCTTGTATAAGCCTTCAATCACCTTATGTATAAGTTTTCTTCTGGCTGAGAAGGGACAGTGAAATTATTATGGTGGTCTGATTTAACAAAATGAAATCTGAATAAAGCTGAAAATCAGCTCTTTTGTTACTTTTCCATTTACAGCTGTTGCTATGTCACTGGACAAGTAGACTTGGGAATATATCTTGATGTGAAATGGTGCAAGGAATGCAGAAGAAAGCTATACAGTTTGGTCTGTGTTCCATTGGACTTCCATTTAGTTTCCTTTCTCCGTAGGAGATCTGTTTCTTAAAATACTTATTGTTGCTGAGAGTGTATAAGTTTGCAGTTGTTTTCAAAACATTCTAATTTGTACTTTATTAACATTTTCGTAGATATTGTTGAGTGTCATTACTGAAATGATTCAGCGCTCTAAAGAGCCCTGTTATGCAGTGAGCAAGAAAATGTTGCATCTGTTTTACCTACTGTTTTTTGGCTGCCTGTCCCTCAAACTTGTTTTTCTAAGGAGTGAAACTCTGCATGTTAGACTAATTACTGCACGTCAGTTCCTTAACTCTTGAAAAGGCTTGGATGTCAGCTATGCAAAAGTAATGAGATGTGCAGTGATTTAGCCAAGGGTCCAAATATCTATTATGCATGTGCAGTTGAAATGACAATATAAAATGAATGTGGTCTTAATTGTTGTCTCTGTAGCAAGCCACGGGTTACTTTTTCCCCCCACACTGTTCACTTTAAATATGGTGGTGAACAATATTAATGAGCATCGATGGTCCAGGGACCTTAAAACTATTGCCAGTTCATAATTGCTGTTTGCCACATGTATTTACTTATACCTGTGCAAGGGTCAGCCAAAGTGATACCAGGTGAGTTAAATCCATTAACTATTTCCTTTTTCCTGTTGTTGTTGGGGCCTGACTTTGAAAACTTTGGTGGAAACTTTGCTGTTGCTGTAACTCACAGAGGAATTGGCTGTTTGTTCGTAAAAATTTTCTTCCTTAGGAGGAGGTCTGCTGCTGCTTCCACTTTGCCCTCTCAGGCTACAGAATGATCTCTTCCAGCACTGAGCCGTGCAAGTACAGGTGTCCCTTCTAATCGCGTAACCAGAATAACCAGATTTGTGTACATTTCCTGCTCTTTTTTTTTTTCTTTTAAAGCCTGAGACTGCAGCTGTGCTGAAGCGCACTGTTGAGGCTCTTATGGAGAGAGGAGCCATTGTGAGGAACCTAGAAAACCTGGGAGAAAGGTCTCTACCTTACAAAATCTCCAAGCACAAGGAGCGCCACAGAAGAGGAGGGTATGCATGATGCATTTTTCCTTAAAATCCTTTAAGTGCTACTTTAAAATGTACATAAGTAACTGTCATTGTTTGGTCTTCCTTGTGCTTTTTGGGAGCACACCTGTGATGTCTGTGATCTCAGGAAGGTGTTGTGTGGCTGTTTGTGTGTGCGTGTGTTCTGCTTCAAGTGTTTTGTGTCTTTTATTGTGTGGTGTTGGCTTTTTGTTAGTGTTTAGTCATCGTGTTACAAGTAGCCTGAGTCCAGGCCTGCAGAACCACTCTCCCCAACATACACAATGTTATTTTGTTAAGTCATTTTTACATAACTATTTTCCAAGACAGTCAGGCTGTCTACTGGTAAAAGTCATACTTAATCTGCTGGTTGCTAATTGGCAGGATTGATTCTTTTTCTGTAATGCATCTGAACTAAATGTTAATTACCATGTGCACCGTGTAAGACTCGCTTGGGTTGCTGATATGGTTTTTGTTCAGGATGTTAAAGATGACCGTGCGGTTTACAGGCAGTATGATAAATGTAAATGGAGCTGTGAATTGGCATCTGGGATGTCGGGCTTCCCCTGCGATGCGGGAGGAAGGTGCTGCGGATTGCACCCCCTGCTCGCTTACGCCAGTGTGTTATTGCTCCTGGAGGCTACCTCCGAAATGGATGCTGGCTCTGGCAAGGACAGAAATGTTGCTAGGCAACCCGCGCTGTGCTGGGGCTGCTGGCGGTAATCAAAATAACAATTAGCGACACGCTCCTCCTAATCCCTGTAATGCAACTGTGCCTAATCGGATGGTTGGCCAACCGGCCCACCTACCGTCTTCCTTGGCACTGGGGGAGGCGAGGTGACTCCAGAGGTGCTCCTCTTATGAAGCCCTTCTTGGATCATCTCCCCGGGGGTGGGCTCACGGTTTCACTCCCTCTTCTGAGGACCTCTTCGTTCTCCTGTGAAGTGGGAGTGGTGACAGCTGCCAGTTAAAGCAGACTGACAGAAAGGGTAGGTAGGGAAGGAAATCTCCACCACCTGCCTCTTACTTAACCGAAAGCAATGGTGGTGTGGCCGTGACTGTCTTGCGCTCCTGCTCTGTGGTGTCCTTCAAAACATGGCTTGATCCTGCCAGTTTTGCATTTTAGGATGGAGGCCTACACATGGGAGCTAATCAAAGCCTTGTCTCAAGACAGAATTACGAATTACCTCATCCTTCTGTTGGAGTAGAAGCATTTTATAAACATTAAAGTCTTTTCTGACAGCTTCAGCAGAACGAGGAGCTGGTGTTACTCTCCTTGCACAGGTGGGAAGCTAAGGCAGAGGGACTAAGTTCCACTCATTTTGGGTGCAGAAGTTGAGACTTTTAGCTTTTTTTTTTTTCCTAGAGTACTTAGCACTCTCTAACATTTCACCACTTAGGATGACAGTTTCCACCTGGCTTGGGTGGCAGTACTTCTGTAGATCAGATCTTGGTTTCTTCAACAGGGAAACCAGGACAGGAGAAGACAGTAACCAGCATCGCAAGAACTATGTAGCAGAGATGAATAGAAGCCATTTCTCCAGGGGAATCTTTCAGACCTGTAAACTAGCTTAACTCATTTACTGTAGCAGATTACCTACTTAAGAAGCAGGACGAGGGGATCTCTAGACTGTAACCCTCTTCTTTGCAGAGTCTTCAGAGCAGACATATTTTGTGTTCTGAATGAGACAAGGTTTTGTTAGTAAATAATTGCAATCGTGTCTTGAAACACGGGCAGGAAGCCATCAGATTAATGTCACCATCGCTGTTCCTCCTCCACCTCCCAGTTCAAGTGTCTCTAAATATTTAGCAGTCATTCTGCTTGCCTTGGATTTGGATCCTCTGTATTTGGATATGACAGTTCCCTCCCCTAAATTGCTTGGCTTCTTGAAAGGGAGAAGTGATTGAGAGAGGGTACTGCAGGAAATAGTTGTTTTGTGTGCTTTTAATTAGAGAACTCAAATTCAGGAGACACAGGATCTTACAAGGGGAAGCAGCAGGCAGTTTCAGTACCTGGTAATGAGCGAGAATTGTATTTCTGTGGATTTTGCTAGGGAGATTGCAGTTCAGTGTACAGGTATGGTGGATTCCTGGTATAGCATCCAATATTTTATATGGTCTGGAGGATAAGTTACTCGGGATATTAAACATAATCTAGGAACAGGAAGTGAAAAGACAGTTCTTGATCCACCTTATAAAATCAGTCAGTTCTACTTTACAGCACCTGTAAAAAGTAATCTTTTTTTTTTTTTAAAGGACAAAGTTAAAAAGGAAAAAAAAAAGGCTTTTCAAGATACCTCACTAAACTGAATATACACCTGTACTTAGGAAGAAGTCCTAAGGTCTTTTTTCCTTCATAGCCAATTTTTAATTCTGTCTATGTTCCCTTTCTTAGCAAGTTGGTGTAGAGTGGTATATAAAGTAGTACGGAGTGTGTCACCTTTTCCTTAGTCTGGGCTTTTTCTGAAGTAACTGAAAGGGCTTCTGTGAGAGTGCAAATGATACTGTGTGTCTGGGGGGGTAGAGTGTTGAATCTTTCAAAGCTTTTCTTTTTCTTTTTTTTTTTTGTTCTTTTAAAAAATATTTTTAAATTTTACTTTTTTTTTTTTAGTTTTGTGATTCCTAGCAGAGCTTTAGCTAGTTTAGTTTCCAGCAGTATGTTGATGGTTGGAGATTTAGGATGTACACTGAATCTGTTAGTTCCTTGGACCTCCTGGCTGACAAATTATATGAAAACTAGTGGAACACAATATTTGTAGCAAAAAATTGTATGAAAATTAGTGCAGTACAATAGTCGTAGCATGGGTCACAGCTTAATAGCATGTCTCTTGTGGTCACTGGAGCTGTCTCCTGCACAAATGGCATGGAATCTCCCCACCTGCATGGGGTGTTTGCCTGAAAAACAAAACAAAACAAAGCAAACTTCCTCACCAGCGTAGTGAGCCTAGCTTTGCTCCCTTATAAAACTCCCAGTGCTATCTAGGTTGTGTCTCTTAGCCTCAAATCAAGGGCCATCAGTAGGGCAGCACCAGCTATTCACGGGTCAACTGAGATGTGCTCTGTGGCATGCCCAGTAGTCATCCTTCTTCCAGAACTTGCTGTACGTTTTCTTCATTTAGTTAATTCCATTTTTAATTGCAGTTCAAGTCTTTATATACAGCATATCATAAAACTGAGTGATAGAGAAAGGACACACAAGTGCCATATGCACAGCAAAGATACTGCTGGACTTAGCCAGGTTTTGGTAGTGTCTTTAGTGAACAGTAAAGAATTAGACTGGAAAATACCTATTCATAAGTCAATAGGGAGGATAGTTGTGTCCTTAATAAAGCTCATTTTCCACTCTGAGTCCTGTAGTGCTTCGGAATCATCTGTCTTGGATATACTGCATTACAGGCACATTACAAATTTAAGAATATCCAGGAGACTTTACAGAGAATGAGAATTTTACTGCCAATTGATCTGTAAAGCTGAGATTTTTTCAAAGCCTTCTGCAGGGGATTGTGGCCCACAGCTGTCACTGGAATGAGCAGTTTTACTCTCCCAGGCAGCTTTGAAGACCTCAGATCGTACGTATAATTGACTTGTTTCTTCTCAGGAAATTGTATTCACTGAGCAGGTGGCGCATGTGCATTGAGGGTATAATAAAACAAATTTAGGTCTTTCTCTTAAATGCATCTCTCTTGGCAGAAAACACCCTCCTTTTTTTAGAGACCTAATATTGACAGCTTTTGCATTTAAGTAATTATGAAAATAGTATGTTTCAGGAACTGTGTGACTCTGAAGAATCAAACTTTTAAATCACTGGTTTACCGATATTTTAAACTGAAGTTGAATTAGCTACTAATTTACATTGATGGTATTAATTGTCATAGTAGAACATTAATATTTTGTTTTTAAAGTATTTAAGAGCCCTGATTGAAGTAGCAGCTCACAACATTGTAACAAAATTGTAACAAATACTGTTCACCTTACAGATGAATAAAATGTAACAAGGACACATAGGTTCCAGTGTGGGTTAGGTATGTAAATTTAGTTGAGGCATTGAGCCTGAGTGACTTGCCCATGGCCACCCTGTCTCTGAAAAAGCAGTGGAAGAATGTAAATAAGGATTACCAACTTCATCTCCTAATGAGCAATAGATTTGTGCCAAGTATTTGTTTTACCAGTCGCTACTTGTTTATCATTTTTAATGAGTTGTATTTAAACTGCTTTTAACATGATGCTTTTTTTTTTTTAAATATTGTATTACATGTATCAGGAGGTGCTTATTTCTGGAACAAACAAAAGTGAACTGATTTAAATAAGATGTGTGCTAGTAAATGAATTCAAGGAATCTTAAACTCTGGATTTGTTTGCTGTTTAAGATGATACAGAATCATTGAATCCCTCAAAACAGCTTTCAAATAAAGGGTCCAGACTGGGGCTGGGTGATGACATTGCAGAGCCATTGCACATACTTGGTCACTGCTAAACTGGAGAATATTGCAACTGCTTGTAAAATGATAGATCTCAGTAGCACAATCTGTGGGTTTGCACTTTGTGGCATACCTGTTTTCTTTGGCCTTGCCAGGCTATGCCTCAATCATATGCTTGTGACGCTTCGTGCTTCAGGGCATCAGATAAAGGAGGTGGTTTGGGGGACGTTGTTGGTATCTAGGATATTTTTACTTTAGGGGAGATGGTACAAGGGTGGCTCCAAAACAGATCTTTAAAAAAAATAAGATTTCAGACATTCCTCTGGGAAGGTAATGGCTCAAACTTTTTGCAGACCAGGAATCTATTAAACTGGAAGGAGCTATGACAGGAACTTTGGGGAGAAGAGAGTGCCCAGGTGTAACTGGGTTTTGAATACTGGGTATCTTGCTGTCCCTAGAGATTTGTTGTTAGTGATTTTGTTTCCCTCCAAATGTTGTTTCTATTCTTATTTTTGTAATCTCCATTGTAGAAAAGTTGATATACATCAGCCTGGTCAATGCTCAGATTTAGTATGGTTTTGTAAATCA